TTTGTTTACTTACCTAAAAAAATATGTATTTTTTCATATTTGATTTTAGATTTCAATAACAAATGTATGATGGCACTTTAAAAATGCTCTTAAAATAACAGCATTACAGAAAATCTGTATAATCACTTAAAGGCTAAGTCTAAATTCTAAATCATATAAAGAGAAAAATAGTATTTTACTCAGATTGAGCGGATTTCCTTTTTTTCAAATATTTAACAAAGCATAATATTTAATTATATATAATTTTGGACTTAGGATATTTATGATATATTGCTTACTTTGAATGGGGTAAAATTATATCAAGGGCTTATTATCAGAACGATTCTGATTCTATATAAGGCACGCTATATACAATCCATTATCTTAACATTAATAAACTATAAATTATAAGGCATATGATTACTACTCAGGTGTTTCAAAAAACTTTGGCGATGCTCAAAACTTTTGTTACAACAAAAAACATTGAATTTCAGGCCGCGATGTTCTTCGGAGTAATGCATCTTTAATAATCCAAATGAATTAAATATGCCATGGCATATGGGACACCTTAAATTCTCCATATATCCAGATATGTTCTCATCCATCTTTTTTTCTTTCTCCCACCGTACTAGGCCTGGCTGTTTGTGACCTTTGCGCACATGTTTGTGTAGATTGTAACGGCAGAAAAATGTTTTCTTACATTCCGCGCAGCAAAATGCTTCGGGGGTTTTATGATATATAATGTGTTCTTCGATATCATAACGTCCTTTCCATTTACGGCCACAACAGATAATGCGATAAAAACTTTTGGGATGGGCACATTTATAATGTTCTTTAAGGTCATGGAATGTGGATAGGTGGCCATTGCACATACCACACTGGACATGTGTCAAATTTTGATTGATAAAATCATCTATTTCTTCATATGTTATTCGTACATCAGGTTTCTTTTGATGTAATCCATCTATCAAGTCGACATACTGATAGGGATGATCCAGTTTGAAATGATCTGTCAGGGCCTGAACGGTGGGATAGCAAACTTGACACAGATCGCAGGTGAAGTAACCAGGATCCAAATGCCAACAAATGTGCTGTAGCAAACTTACACGATCGGGAATTTTTTCTTCACAGCATGAAATGTAGATACCTTCCTTGGCCTGGGGATGTTGTAAATGAAAATGATTCTCAAATGATGAAAAGTTTTTATGTTGCGACTTGCAAACGGGACATCTTATGGTAGGATAATAGCGGGCAATAAATTCATCCAATTCTTGAGATAATCTTCCGTTATTAAGTGACTTTTGTACTAAGTGTGACTTTAAAAAATGTTTGCGAATGAAATGATGTTTCAAATGACATTCGTCGGGGAATCTATCGTGACAAATAGAACATGCCAGATGTGTTACATTGCCACATGAGTCAGTTTCTGTTACCATGTAGTCGAGATGTTGCCGATATGCATTGGAATTGAGTTGTATGTCAATGTTGTTGGGTGAATTCGTATAAAATTCATGGTGAAATTCCTGGTTCCCATTCGTTTTTCCCATAGGGCATTTTGCATATGTGGACATCTCGTTCGGCCCAAATGGTGTAGGTATATCCCCAACGTTGGTTTCATAAGCTGTCGAGGATGAGGATACACTTTGCTCATTACTTAAATCAACGGCATCCGGCGACTTTTCATTGGATACACCATCATCCTCGCTAAAATCGCCACCAATTAATATACCTATGGGCTCTTCACATTCATCGTCGGAGTCATCGGACAAGATCGATATAACATCTTCAGATGGCCCAAAGCTTCCAATGTTATCTGCAATGTGGCCTGCCGCATTACTTGGAATGCCTTCGTTCATAAATTCCATATCTGAAGAAATGTCCTCAGGCGTGCTGAGATCGCCAAATGTCGATACAGGTGAATTGTTTGATTCAGAACTACTAGCAATAGATGGGTTATTATTATCGATGACGTCGTTGGGCGGGTGGTTAAGAAACTCCGGCATTTGAATTGTGTTTGTGGTGGAGCCATCAGTAACATTAGCAGACATTTCATTGTTAGAAGTATTATTATAACTTGGACAAAGTATGTTGGTAATGCTATGATCCCTTGAGTTTGGTTCCTCACAAGTGCTCGCATTTTGGTTGTCACAGGTTATATGTGGATTTGTAATAGAGTTGTAAGTTTGATTGGAACTTACGCCACTGACCTCATTATTATAAGGAATAACTTTTTGGAATGTCTCATTCGTTGAATTGAGTTCGTTTGGTGGTATACTTGCGCTATAACTTGTTGTAAGGGAATAAGTACTTGAAATAACAGGCACGACCGAATTTTCTATGACATTGGCATTAATAGGATTTTGAGCAACAGAAACGCATGAGCCAAAAGCGTTGCTTTCTCCAGTGTTAAGATTAGAGAAGTTATCGTGGTAAGTATTGCTGTTGCATATAGTGTGATTTGTTTCATTCTGATTTGTTGAAAGTGGGCCGCAAATGGAATTCGTATTAAATGAGCTGGATTGTCTATTACTTTCTGGAGGAATTTGATGGGTGAAAACATTTGCCCGCTCTACGGCTTTATTATTATTTAAAATATCTGGAGATGTATTTGTGCTGCTGTTGTGTGGAGAATTATCACTGCAAATCGGAATGTTTTGGCCATTTTCGGGAGCAGGAAGATAAGCATTGGCTTGCGGCATAGGCTGATTATGGGAAATTATATTTGTGTTATTATCCTCTTCACACAAATCAATTGATATATTTTTATTATTCACTAATCCATTGATCAGTTCAATACTTTTCCTCTTACACCTGATTTCCTCAGAAATATTGCCGACTCTTTTCAAATGATTTTTATTCGCATCATTCTTTCGTAATTCTTGTTCATATTGCATAAGTCGCTGTTGGCAGGATATTATGTAATTTTGGAACTTGTGAAAATGATATATTATATTCCAACAGTCCGCACACACGACGGAATCATTGAATCCACGTCTTAATTGTAGAAACTATAAAAATGTTTAGAATAAAATTAAATTATGTAAATTAAAAATAATGAAATTTGTTTCTTTACCATTGGATGAAAGAAATTTACAACAATAGGTGTGTCTGGTTACCCTAAAGTTTGTAACAAATGTTACAAGTTGTTACTGGAAGTCGTCTGTTAACCCAAAAGTTCTGCAAAAGAGAGCGGTTGGAGAGAGAAATTTTGACAGTTCTTTCAGTGAGAGTTTGCAAATTCTTGCTGGAAAAATTTCTTCTTGCAATCACTTGCAACTCTTCTTCTTCTCATTCATCGACATTCAATCAGATGTTTTCTATTGTTTATTTATTTCTTTTTGTGCTTTCAATTTGAAAATATTTTTTTGGAATTAGCAAGACTAATAGTTTTTGGAGAACAACTTTACAAAATGTGAAAAACGTAAATGTTAATATGCAATAAGAAAATAAACGACTATTTCCAACATTTTTATTTAAAAAACTTGTAAAATTAGTATTGCTTCCTTTGTTTTAATTCTCCTTATGGGGGACAAATTGGTTTGTTTTGACAAATCAGCTGATTAGTTGCAAGCTTCTGCAGGAATACCGTCTGTTTACTTTTCGCATTTTCCTTGCAAAAGAGAATAAAACAACCTTACTCTCTCAGAAAGAAGTTACTGGACAATTCCTGCTGGAAAAGTAACCAGACACACCTAATATTGAACAGTCGGGTTGCGTAGAAAACGTCTAAGAGAAATGTAATTTCGGCCGGGCCGAACATTGAATACCATCCACCGTTTTGTAATTTTCAAAAAAAAAATAATAATAATAAAATCTGTTAAAAATAATATATTATGGTCTATACGACGGCTAGGACCTGCATGGGAACTTTTGTCATAAGCCATTACCATATTCAAATACGAAACTTAGAGAAAATAGGTGAATAATGTAGCTAAAGTCATCAAAACACCAAATTTCGGGAGATACCGTAATATGGGGGTATACGAAGACGTGGACCTGCACAGACAATTTTTTCATGGGCTGTAGTATCCATTACGAACTTCAAATACCAAATTTGTAACAATTCCGGTGAATAATTCGTAATGGATTCTAACTCTGGTGGCGGAACATTGTATGTATAGGTCCACGTTTTGGTATAGCCCCCCCTATAACGGTACCTCCCGATATTCGGCATTTTAATGGTTTTTGCCACATTTCTTCTAATGTTTCCTTTACCCTAAGGTGGAGGGTATTAAAAGTTTGGCCCGGTCGAACTTAATGTTTTTTTACTTGTTCTTTCTGTTGCGGTGCGGTCGCGGTTCTTGCACTTTTTGGAATTTCGATGGCTTTACCTCGAGCTCATTTTTCAATATTTGCCGAATGGAATATTGCGATATGTTCAGCTCACGAGACACGGCCACTACGACGCGGGTTCAATCAAGTCGCTTCTTTGCTTTTCGAACCATTTCTGTTGCTGTTTTCTTCCGTCCACTTCCTTGACGTAGGCCTACGCTACCAATATCACGGTAACGAGCGATGGTACGAGACAAATAAAAATTTATTCACATTTAAATGTTGCAGTGCTCTAACGATAGCCACTTGTGGTTTTCCATCCAAATATAAAGAAAACACACTATCACGCTGCAATTCCATCACGAATAATTTGTTTTTCTGGGAAATTCTCACCAAAATGCTTTTGTACGCTTGTAAACAATATAATCAGCTGTTACTGGAATAATTTTAAAAGCTGTCGAACGAGTGGCTTAGAAATGACAGCAGTCTAAAGTTGTTTGCAGATTCTTCATCTCACCCTGTATCTATGGTACGGTTTAGTCTTGTTTGTGTTACAATCAAATACATAATATTACTTTCCACAACATTGCGTAATGTATAGTAGATGTTTACCGTTCACACTTATTTTTTACTATTGGATTTTCCCAACGCCTAAAACTCACCCAAATGTCTTATCAAGTAATTTGAATAAGTACCTTAAAACCCTGCAATCGACAGGTAGATGTAGTCGATGTTTTATTGCTGCACCATGGCTAGGTACCTAATTGGAAATTTTAGTCCAAACACAAAAAAAGGAAAAACTACATTCTCTTAATCAAATTTGTAACAAATATATTTCTATGCCTATGTGGAAAACAACAAATAGTCTTATCCAACCCTTAGATGTATCTACTACATATGCACACCACACACGTACTCAAACAAGACGTGAGGACAACCAAGTCTCTACAAATATTTTTTATCAGACCGCATTTTAAAAGCAGCACGTCTACTAATAAAAAAGGCAAATAAGAAGAATATTCAAAACTCTTCAGGTAGTTTTCAAGAAATATCCTGCGCAGTTTTAACGAGTCGTCTCACAATTTGAGCCTCATATTTAAAAATTTTTGATATTTTCTTAGAGACCACTGCAGTTTTATGCTTTCCATTGGGAAGTATTCGTTGAATTCTTATAATACTACGTCAATATTGACAAGGATCATAATATAACAGGACAATTGTGGCACAGCATGGGGTAAACAAACCTTTTCTAAAACTGACACCTAAATACAAGTACTACTACAATAAAGTGTATTTCCAATCTGTTGTACTTATGTGCTGCATAATAAAACTCAAGAAAAGTGTTTGTTTACTTACCTAAAAAATATGTATTTTTTCATATTTGATTTTAGATTTCAATAACAAATGTATGATGGCACTTTAAAAATGCTCTTAAAATAACAGCATTACAGAAAATCTGTATAATCACTTAAAGGCTAAGTCTAAATTCTAAATCATATAAAGAGAAAAATAGTATTTTACTCAGATTGAGCGGATTTCCTTTTTTTCAAATATTTAACAAAGCATAATATTTAATTATATATAATTTTGGACTTAGGATATTTATGATATATTGCTTACTTTGAATGGGGTAAAATTATATCAAGGGCTTATTATCAGAACGATTCTGATTCTATATAAGGCACGCTATATACAATCCATTATCTTAACATTAATAAACTATAAATTATAAGGCATATGATTACTACTCAGGTGTTTCAAAAAACTTTGGCGATGCTCAAAACTTTTGTTACAACAAAAAACATTGAATTTCAGGCCGCGATGTTCTTCGGAGTAATGCATCTTTAATAATCCAAATGAATTAAATATGCCATGGCATATGGGACACCTTAAATTCTCCATATATCCAGATATGTTCTCATCCATCTTTTTTTCTTTCTCCCACCGTACTAGGCCTGGCTGTTTGTGACCTTTGCGCACATGTTTGTGTAGATTGTAACGGCAGAAAAATGTTTTCTTACATTCCGCGCAGCAAAATGCTTCGGGGGTTTTATGATATATAATGTGTTCTTCGATATCATAACGTCCTTTCCATTTACGGCCACAACAGATAATGCGATAAAAACTTTTGGGATGGGCACATTTATAATGTTCTTTAAGGTCATGGAATGTGGATAGGTGGCCATTGCACATACCACACTGGACATGTGTCAAATTTTGATTGATAAAATCATCTATTTCTTCATATGTTATTCGTACATCAGGTTTCTTTTGATGTAATCCATCTATCAAGTCGACATACTGATAGGGATGATCCAGTTTGAAATGATCTGTCAGGGCCTGAACGGTGGGATAGCAAACTTGACACAGATCGCAGGTGAAGTAACCAGGATCCAAATGCCAACAAATGTGCTGTAGCAAACTTACACGATCGGGAATTTTTTCTTCACAGCATGAAATGTAGATACCTTCCTTGGCCTGGGGATGTTGTAAATGAAAATGATTCTCAAATGATGAAAAGTTTTTATGTTGCGACTTGCAAACGGGACATCTTATGGTAGGATAATAGCGGGCAATAAATTCATCCAATTCTTGAGATAATCTTCCGTTATTAAGTGACTTTTGTACTAAGTGTGACTTTAAAAAATGTTTGCGAATGAAATGATGTTTCAAATGACATTCGTCGGGGAATCTATCGTGACAAATAGAACATGCCAGATGTGTTACATTGCCACATGAGTCAGTTTCTGTTACCATGTAGTCGAGATGTTGCCGATATGCATTGGAATTGAGTTGTATGTCAATGTTGTTGGGTGAATTCGTATAAAATTCATGGTGAAATTCCTGGTTCCCATTCGTTTTTCCCATAGGGCATTTTGCATATGTGGACATCTCGTTCGGCCCAAATGGTGTAGGTATATCCCCAACGTTGGTTTCATAAGCTGTCGAGGATGAGGATACACTTTGCTCATTACTTAAATCAACGGCATCCGGCGACTTTTCATTGGATACACCATCATCCTCGCTAAAATCGCCACCAATTAATATACCTATGGGCTCTTCACATTCATCGTCGGAGTCATCGGACAAGATCGATATAACATCTTCAGATGGCCCAAAGCTTCCAATGTTATCTGCAATGTGGCCTGCCGCATTACTTGGAATGCCTTCGTTCATAAATTCCATATCTGAAGAAATGTCCTCAGGCGTGCTGAGATCGCCAAATGTCGATACAGGTGAATTGTTTGATTCAGAACTACTAGCAATAGATGGGTTATTATTATCGATGACGTCGTTGGGCGGGTGGTTAAGAAACTCCGGCATTTGAATTGTGTTTGTGGTGGAGCCATCAGTAACATTAGCAGACATTTCATTGTTAGAAGTATTATTATAACTTGGACAAAGTATGTTGGTAATGCTATGATCCCTTGAGTTTGGTTCCTCACAAGTGCTCGCATTTTGGTTGTCACAGGTTATATGTGGATTTGTAATAGAGTTGTAAGTTTGATTGGAACTTACGCCACTGACCTCATTATTATAAGGAATAACTTTTTGGAATGTCTCATTCGTTGAATTGAGTTCGTTTGGTGGTATACTTGCGCTATAACTTGTTGTAAGGGAATAAGTACTTGAAATAACAGGCACGACCGAATTTTCTATGACATTGGCATTAATAGGATTTTGAGCAACAGAAACGCATGAGCCAAAAGCGTTGCTTTCTCCAGTGTTAAGATTAGAGAAGTTATCGTGGTAAGTATTGCTGTTGCATATAGTGTGATTTGTTTCATTCTGATTTGTTGAAAGTGGGCCGCAAATGGAATTCGTATTAAATGAGCTGGATTGTCTATTACTTTCTGGAGGAATTTGATGGGTGAAAACATTTGCCCGCTCTACGGCTTTATTATTATTTAAAATATCTGGAGATGTATTTGTGCTGCTGTTGTGTGGAGAATTATCACTGCAAATCGGAATGTTTTGGCCATTTTCGGGAGCAGGAAGATAAGCATTGGCTTGCGGCATAGGCTGATTATGGGAAATTATATTTGTGTTATTATCCTCTTCACACAAATCAATTGATATATTTTTATTATTCACTAATCCATTGATCAGTTCAATACTTTTCCTCTTACACCTGATTTCCTCAGAAATATTGCCGACTCTTTTCAAATGATTTTTATTCGCATCATTCTTTCGTAATTCTTGTTCATATTGCATAAGTCGCTGTTGGCAGGATATTATGTAATTTTGGAACTTGTGAAAATGATATATTATATTCCAACAGTCCGCACACACGACGGAATCATTGAATCCACGTCTTAATTGTAGAAACTATAAAAATGTTTAGAATAAAATTAAATTATGTAAATTAAAAATAATGAAATTTGTTTCTTTACCATTGGATGAAAGAAATTTACAACAAT